AGGAAATTGGATTTGTTCGTGCAGCTTACCATTTATTTTCATATCTAGAGTAGAAATGCTTTTATTTTAAGGTAAGTCGGGCTCTTCTATACCGCAAATACGCAATTATCACATTTTTCTGCGTGTTTTGTGATGTAATACTATAGTCAAGTTCACTCCAGCATTACACGGATGACTAAAATATGCAGAGTGGTGTGGATATAAGTGAATATTATATGCTCTGAGAGATGTCATTGGCCACTCAACAAAAAATATAAAAATCACTAATGCGCATATGCATTATTTATACTGCTCTATTATCCGGTTAACCGTTACAATAATATCCGGTTATCAGATAGCAAAATACCTCTTGGTTAATCGGTTATCCGGTTAACCGCTATCCGGATAATCCAACCCTAGTCAGAATGTTTAGATATATTAGTTGGTAACGAAAAGCAGTGTACCGGTACCGTAAAAACAGGTAACTTCGGATGGTTTGTAACTTCGGATGAAATTTTTAATCGTTTATATCTCGACTGAATGGCGTCATATTGTGCTTATGGCAGTTTCTATAGTGGAGACTTATATATCTAAATCTGTTATTATATTCAATTGCGCAATTTAATTTATTAATTAATAAAATCACGCTTTAGCATAAAATTGACACTCTGTTTTCGAGCGGCTCAAATCGTGACTTCTACTAATGCTAACTTCGTCAAAATAGCGTCATTCGATAGAGGGTGTTATCAATGTATATAGAAAATTAGACTGATCGCGAGATGTCGTAGGAGACCCGATAAAAATTTGAAAATCGAATATTTTTTTTTTATCACAATAATAGCATCTGACGCACACGTTAAACTTGACGTCGCGTTCGAAGACGTCATGTTGCATCGCCGTTAAGTGAGCGACGTCATGTTGCATCGTTGTTACAGATTTGACACCAGACATTCTGGCGCCGACGAGTTGGCGTAGATTTGAAAATATTTTGTTCGATGAATCAATATCGGCTAAAATATACGCATCAACAATTTTCTGTGGAGCGTAAATTCATGGCGTCAAATGCTGGAAATGTAATTCAATTAAATTTATTAAAAATGGCAATTAACAAAAAGCATATTCATTCGATTTGACTATTTCAAATTTTCCATTTGATACGGCAACATCGTTCAAAATAGAAAAATTTTAAGCAGTCGAGAAATTTAAAAATATATGCCCAGCAATAAATAACAACAATCATTGTTGCAAGTGAGTTCTGTTTCGTGAATTTAACGAAAGTAATTTCAATAAAGTTGCCAATTGCCAAATCGGTGTTTTGTCGTGATTTATGCACGACCGACATTTAAATAGGTTAATTTAATGAAGAATCCGGAAAGTCGATAAGACGGTTTAACCATATGGCGAACCACAGCCTCTCGCCCGGTTACCATTCCATGTCGGGTATGGGATTAGTTATTTGTTTTCGGAAGCATGGACTTGATGGTGGAGGAAGCCGTAACCAACCAGCGGTTACGTGAAGCACCCTACGGCGGCGAGGTTAAATCCCAGCCTTTTGCTTACCTTGCACTCGTTTATTAACGGCACTTCGCTATGTCTTGCACCTCGTGGGTAGCAAAACGCCGTTCATTACATTCCAGCGAATTGCTAACGAAAAGCTGTAAATTATTTTCAACGTTTCTCTCACTTTGCGCCCCGTGGATAGTGAAACAAGGCTTGAATAAACTCCAGTGTTTCCCTCGTGCCTTGCTCGTTGGGTGAATTCGTCGAATGGACCTTTTCCCGACCCTAACCCCAGAAAAATTCTAAACTAAACTGAAGCTCACCGGAAGGCATAATAACAATTAAAATAATTGATTTACAACTAATTTTTGGAAACACAACTAAAAACTGACTAATTTAATGCAGGGATGTCCAAATCGAATTTAAATTCAAATATTGCAAACTCCAAATACTGTTTTTTCGTGCTTATAATAATCCCGAATATGGCGCACATATCCTAGCGTCGTCGTCCATGTGTGGTTCGGCAATATATTACAGCTGACATGAAAGAATTTCGATAAACGCCGACTTGAAGAACTTATAAGACTTCGAGGACGTTTTTGATTGAAAATATTTTCTTATCGTGTATTTTAACTTAGTCGAGATGGTTTAGGCGTCCTTGGCAAATTGTGTCTTAATTAGTTGTTTTCATCCTAAGTTTCGATAGTGACCGAACATAACATGAAATTTTTTCATTTCTTGTAATTTAGCGCGTATGAAATAGCTCTTAAATAGTATTTAATATCTATCTCGGATTTCGTCGGCATCCGGCGTTGATGACAACATCGTTCAGTTTAAGTTACAAACAAAAATACATAACAGTCGACATGAAATATTCAAATCAGCGCAGAGTTCAAAAATAAAACACGTTTCATGGTCTTAATATGCACATAGAAAGAAAGGACAGAGAAATAACGACTAAAAACTAAGAATGGTATGGTATGTTTGTGTGCTTTTGTTTACCATCATCATCATAATCAAATTAGTTAAACCCGATTCCCAAATTTCCGTCCGCCAATAATGGAGAATAAAGATGGAAAAACGTGTTTTACTTTTTGAGTCGGCGTTGATTTAAATTTTTCATGTTATGTGTTATAATTTCTTGATTATAACCAATACCTCCAACTTGAAATGAACGATATTGTTATCAACGACGTCGGGATAACGATAAAATCTCCGATAGAAACCAAATAATATTTAGAAGCTATTTTATAGATTGCAAGAAATTAAAAAATTTCCCGTTAAGTTCGATAACTATCGAAACTGAGGATGAAAACAATTAATTAGGGCAGGATTTGCTTTTAAGTTTATTGCCGAGGCGCACAACATATCTTGACTAAATTGAAATATAGGATAACAAATGTAAAAAATTTTCAACCAAAAACGTCCTCGACGTCTTATAAGCACTTCAAGTCAGAGTTTATTGAAAACCTTTCACGACGGCTGTTAGTTATTGCCGTGCCACATATGGCTGCTTTCGATTGCGGTAAAAAATGAAATAATTGTAAAATGTTTTTAAATCAGAACGTGGACGGGGGCGGTAGGATGTGTACGCGTTCTCGGTTTTCGGCCTTTCATATGTAGAAAATCTTGGGTTAATCGAAGCAATATTTTTCCGAAAATAATATTTGTATCCAGATTTTCAGAGTTTCCACTGCAATATTATAACATGAAGACGGGCGGCGTTACATTGCGTCAAGATGATGAAGCACGAGAGTATTCGTCACAAGAGAGAGAGAGATAGCATTATGCTATTGTCGCTTTCAATTCGCATCGACAGCGCGCGATTTCTATTTTTTTGAGGTAACATATCCCATTTTCGAATACAAACATATACGCGGGGATAGCGATTATTACGTAAATAACAGCAAAAAGGTATGATTGAAGTCGGGCGGTGTTAAATTACGTCAAGGTGATAAAGCACTGGAAAAAGTAGTTTTCACCGGATTGTTACGACCGTAGAACGACGTTGTTTGAACGTAGAATAATAAAAAAAAACGAATTTCAAACGGGGGGGACACGACCCCCGTAACCCCCCCCCCCCCCCCCCCCCCCCCCCGCTGGTTGCGCCACTGGTTGCCACAGGGGGGCGGGCAACGAATGTTTCGCAAAGAGTACAGCAATTTGACACAAATTTCTATTGTACTTGTTAGTCTTTTGCTTCGAATGACACAATTACTAAAATCAATTCGAAACATAAACCTGTAACGATTTTGAGATAATATATAGGATGAGAGAAGCGGCGCGCTTGCATAACAATGACGACTTAACAGGGGTCACAGAAAATTTGAATATATTGGAAGGGGGTGCGAGCTTGAAAAGTATAGGTTTCTATACAACAAGTGTCTCTCTAACGAAACGTGTTACCATTTTTTCTTTGATCCCTCGAGAACTGATAACAATATGAACCTATTTGCCATCCCCAGCGATACAATACAATAAATGGCGTCTGTTTCAATGCCAAGCAATTGCAAAATAGAAGCAAACTATACAAACCAAATAGGGCAAGGAAATCTGCTATTTCCTTATAAAAAACTTACGAAGAAAATTTTTTTCGAATTTATCAACAACCGTATATCCTCGCGTATAAGCAGTTAAAAACTCAAAAAAAGATTACCAAACTAAGGGGTGGGCCTCTACGCATAACTCTGATCGCAATTAAATGATATTATGGTAACTTACTTCCAATAGGTACAACTCGAATTTGCTGTGATACGTGAATACAATTACAATTTGTATGGTCGACTTAGATGCTAATTTTTTTTTTTATAAATTTGCCGTTTATATGCGAGGATATAGGTATCACTTTTATATTGCTAGAAATTTTGATTATATAGAATGGATGGCTTACTGATGCTCCCGAAGTATTGTACCAAAATGGCGCACAGCCTGAACATATAATGTGTACCAGGTTGGGGTTCAGTTTTGGCACACATAATGACAAGGCCCCGGCTTTCTTACCATTTAGACATAAAATAGGTAACGAGCTCTCTAAAAAGTTATTCTGAATACACAATTAGTTATTTTGTTTATACAAATTATAACAAGCATTAACATTTCTAATACGTATTACAACTATCAAATGCTTACAAGTAAAAACATAAACATCAATAAAATGTGATGTCACTAGGCCAATTCGTGAAATTCAGATGAAGTGGGAATAACTTTCATCCAGAGATCAGAGCAGAGTCATTCATAAATTGCGGAGTAGATTTAACAAAAAACTCAACTTCAACATCAAATATTTAGCTTTTGATATGAATTCAATATGATATGCCTTCGTTTTGAACAAGGCTCTGGACAAGAAGACTAATAATGCGGTTTATTAACTTACAAGAACGCGATAGGAAAATTGTTTTTAAATGTCGGAAAGGATATTGCTATTTAGCCTGACGTTGTGACACAAAATAAAACCGGTAATTGCAAATGAATTTATGGTGAAATTATGTAGTTTCTTACAAAAACAAGTGAAAAAAAAAATACTAATTACAATATTTATTTTAATCACAAGACAGAGCAACTTGAAAAATTGAAATTTTCGCGTCAAATGATATCTGGCAAGAGCACGTGAAATGTTCTTTATCTCTCAGCTCTTTGTACATGAGATTTTAGGAGTTCACTCAAGACTTAAATATTCCGTAACAAAAACTGAGTCGTAAAAATATCTATTCCATTATCAAAAATATTCAATTCTGACTGACCTAGTTGCAACAAAGTGGAAAACATCGCAGCATTACTTGTGTACAAACAATTTGTGAGCGAATAGCTGATTTGTCTCGTAAGTAAATAAATTTGGCTAATATCCGTGAAAGTTTAGATGAATGGTTGAAATGAAGTCAGATTGACGACAATTATTGTCTCGGGATGAATGTTTTCACTCAAAAACGTTTTATATATCAATCCATGAACAATTTTAGAAAGAATCTTAATTAGACGGAAATCGTTCCTTCTGGCACAAGACTCCGTTTCTATTGGAAGAAGGCGGGGAGTTGAACATTCCTTGGTTACTACTCGCTGGATTTCTTACGATGATCGCCATTCCAGTGCGAGATGCCAAAGATAAAGGATATCCCGGGTGATATTTACTGTATAGAGCAGTAGTTCCACTTGACAGTAAAGCTCTTTCCGCCTGTTGAAAATAAACCCACGTGATTAGGAAATTTTTCGTGAAGATGGTTCAGTGAAATTGTTGCGGTAATTTCGGGATTTTAAAGATACGTTGAGATTTAGGAGTTTGTTGCATAAGCACGTGGAATAGTATTATTAGAATATTGCGTGAAGATAACTTTGCAAAAATTTAGTGGAATAGTAAGAATAAGCATATGGCGTAGAAATCGTAGTATTTCCTGGGAAGGGTAGAAAAACGATCAAAAAACAAATTATTAAAGGGAGCATTTAAAATGGGATTCTTTAGGTTAGGATAGAGGTTGAGACTCATTTTAAATCCATGGCAAATTCTTATAAAATTCAACAACTGCATATAAAGCAACGATTAGTTCAAATACCTGGTGATCGTATTTCATGCCAAGCCATAACTCTACGTATGAAGTAGAAATCAGTGTTCGAATATATTTGAAAACCAAAGCATATTGATGAGAATCGATTATGTCTGCTGGTTTTGCCGACATTTTTCTACACATTGCAACAGCTTGATCGTAGTTGACATCTGGTGTAATTTGTAATGAAGCTATGTAACATTTCCCGAGATAGCTCCTACCGTCACAAGATCCTGTGAAATATACGTAGAGGATTAAATCTAGATTTTTGTATCCGGTGGTTACTAAAGCCTTTTGATCCGAACTAGGCCGCTGATATAAATGTAATGGGCTACGTTATTTGAAATGACCTGGCCTGGCAAATTTGTCACTCTCTGTGTGAGGTGGGGAGCATGGGGCTCAAACTCGAGATATGCAATCTGCGAGGACAATACAGTCAAGTCTTTGCTTCAACCATTGGCCATCGCACCATGATATGTAATTAAAATAATACGAAAATTTTGCAAGCTTGGTTCAGCACTAACTGAAATTTTCGGATTATTCGAAATTGAATCCAATCGAATTTGGTTTAATGCCAGATGGAAATCGTAGTGCAGTGATTTTCAAAACTGTTCAAGGTCGCGCCACCTTTCTAGAATTTATCAAATCTCGGGTCACATCTCAGAACATTTCATTTCACTGTTGTTTGGGAAATCTAGTTTGACTCTGATAATTTGCGACTCGTGGTTTAAGGACTCGCCTTCCGGATTGATCTGCGTATTGTTTGTCTGTTTTCACCTATTGCATTGTTCATGTTAGGGAGTCGAGATGTCTGATTCATTGATATTACCTTGCAACGTCATGTTTATTTCATTGAATTTGGCCAGCATTCGTTCTTCTAATTCTTCAATTCTTGGAGCCACTGACTTTTCCACTGTGAAAAATATATTTGCTCAATTAATGAGGTGTTTGCTTCGAACAAGGCTTCGAAAAAAATAACTACTGCCAGTGAGCAATTGCGAAAGGATAAATTAATTTTCTTTTCGCCGACAAGCAATATTCGCTTGAATGGTATCTAAAACAAGAGCCATTTTCAGCATTTGAGACCGCGTTGCAAGAGAAACTCGATCTCTGTTTTTAATGCTGAAATAACAGAAGCCAATGCGCTCAAACACGACGCACACAAAAAAATAATTTTATATCATAAATATTCGAAAAGGGTTTTGAACATGGATCGTAATTTAAACCTAATAAACCTACCAAATTTCTCAAATAGCTGTTCAACGGTGGCATTGACTTTTTGATAGTCGACATTTCCTGATTCGCCTTGTTGACCTTTAACCCCGTGCATTCCTATTTTACCCATTTCACCTTTTGGACCTCTTTTTCCAGGTAAACTTTGAAAACGACGAGAGTGGGCTGAACCACGACTGGGAATCGAATCGTTTTCGTCTTCAGCAAACACGTCGTCCACATTCTTGCATATCATATTCTGACTTGGTGCCGTCACAATGGTAGTAAACATGTGACAAAGGCATACAAGAAATAACAAACGACTCATGATGATACTTAGATTCTATATTCACTGGAAAAAATAATAGCATGAGAATCTATGTGAGGTTGCAATAATAGTTGAAGCTATGGAATTGGCATTTGCTAGATTAGATGGTTATCATTTTTATCCCGGTGGGAGGTAAACCGATACGATGGTTTAATTTAGTGTCGTATCACGCTCCCTTGCTCTTGACCACAGATATTTTTCTTTCACGAATTTAAGATGTATAAATTAGGTTTTAGGGATATCTCTTGTGACTACAGACACGCACGGAGGTATATAGGGAGAAAGGACCTTCAGTTCAATATAAAATAACACAGCACTTTCTGATTCAGAATAATATTTTCATTTTATCCGGAGGAGTGGAATCACCGATAACACGGTTTAGTTCTATGTCAGTTCCTTTAACTACCCTGCGGAAGTATTTCGAACCAGCGAGTTTAAACGGGGAAAACAGGTATAGGCCCTCACCTAAAAAAATTTCAAATTATTTCTGACCGTAACTGGATTATTTGTAATTTTCTATTTTAAAACGTCAAATTTTAAATTTTTGCAATAGTAGATGCGGCTTCCTATGAAAATCCAAATCTATTTCGACACTGACTTATGTTGAAACTAAATATCGATGAAATTTAAAAGATTTGCAACCGTGATCCATGACACGCAGCAGTGCTGAGACCCACCATCATTGAAAAAGAGTCAAAATTCGAGATTTAGAGCCAGAATATGCAAGCCCATTGGTCTCGTTCAAGTTATTATCAATTTTTATACTATTTTCTGTATTATTAAATTTTACTTTATATAATTTTAGTTTCTAAAATTTGGCCGTGACTAGGGATGTCAGTTTCAGAATTTTGAATTGAAGCGATTCGAATCAACATCAATTCGAATCGATTTGAAGCAATTTAAGAAAAAGGGGGTTGATTCTATTTAAAAAATTTAATAGACAACACAAGGCAATTGCACGACACAGTGGCGCTGACTTTTTCAAAGCCGTGACACTCCCAGGGTCGTTATATTTCATATTGGTAGCAGCTTTCGAGGGACCAATGGTTTCGCTCAATTTTGTTCGACTACTTAAAATGTTACAAAGTTTCGCAAATATTTTTAACGTTTCTTCAAATTATCTACATAATATTAATATAATAAAACACCATTGCTTTATACCTTATTAAAAACATGTCAGCGATGCTTCCCTCGTTATCATTACTTCTTTTAAAATAATGGCGCCTACGGTATTGACTAACGTTTATCATTTGGAGGAATTTTGAAGGTCAATTTTAGAAGAAACGATCGCTGTACACCCGGTATTATTTGCAAACATAATTGTATGTAAGTAAACATGTAACTGAGTATACCTTTATGTAACAAAAAATAAATAACAGCCGTAATATATTTGGTAGTTGATACATCCATTCAGTGTGTTTTGCTAGTAACTTTATCAATTCCTCAAGCTCATTTTTGTTATATTATCAAAATATATACTATATTTCTTCCAAATTTGGAGAGAGTTAACGATAATATGGTGATATACTAAATAAAATTCGGAAATATTCGAATCGGAACATTGTGATTCGAAAAAAAATTATTCGAAATTTACATCCCTAGCCGTGACAAGTGTCTGGAGATGAAAAAGTCCTACCCAATTGTTACGCTAACGATTGCATTGCATACGTTTTTTCGTATGAAAATGACCGGTTTAGGAGACGACCGGAACCCAATTTAGACAATGGGGGCCCTTGATTATGCATTTTTGAAGCCCTGTTCAATAGGACGTCACAAAACATTATTTATTATGGCGCCAGAATAGGTCAACCAAAAAATATTATGACGTTGTGAATAAATTTTGAATTTACCATGAGGCGCAGTTTGAACAATTTTTTTTCTTAAAAATCGACCATGCGTTTTATAAGCCGGTAAGTCTGTTTTATGGATCAGATCAGCCTTATCTATTCACAAAACCCTAATCTAAGCAATTTATTGACGGCGAGCCTTATAACCTGGTGTGGCTTATGGTCTGTAAAATACATGTAAGCTGAATTTAAAAACAATCAAGAAACTCCCGACTCTAATAAAATACCAAAGCATCAATGAACTTTTTCCCAATGCTTTTCTTTGCTGTCGAAGTTATACAAGCGTCATATTAATGCTAAATACAATTAACCTTGTCTACGATGAGAAAAAATATTCGAAATGTTTTCATAATGCGTGCATGAGTATTTATTTCATAATTGTAAAAAGCAAAGATGATGATCATGATTACTAATACTCACGGAAAAGACGAAAATATAATCGCGCTGATACCCATAACCTAAACAAGTACCAGTTCGTCTGGCTAACTGACTGAGTAAATTCGCTCGCAATGCTTAATTAACCTGGACTGATCGAACTTTACTCAACTTCCAGCGTATTATGAACCCGCACCCGCCGTATTTTTTGGTATGAGTTACAGACATTGGCAAGGGAACAACGAACCTCATGTCCCCCAAACTTTTTGTTCGTGCGGCGCCATATCATCACGGAAAAAACGCACAGCGCACTTATACGACACAAACTTAGTTTATATCTATATTGTTAGGTAACAATAGAGGCAAACATTACGTAACAGTGAGTAAACAACATAGAAAGTTGAAATGAATTTATTGATTCATATACACAGCATTTAAAATAAGAAACAGTAAAACATTAATAAGAAAACAATAGGTAAAAAATTCAATCATGTTTTAATCCATGCCTATTTAACATAATTTAGCGGCGAACTTAGTAACTTGTCACGATGTACCATTTGGGTACTGCTGGCCTAGTGGTGAACACCCTGGACCTAACTTTCCCCTTTTCCGATAACAAGGCTTGGCCTGAAAATAATACGTTATATTTTAATATAAGCCCTCCCCTTTAAGACCTAGTCCATAGAGCGATTTTTTTTGTCCTAGTCATAGCAATAAATCTCTCCTACACGTTTTAAATTATTATGAATAATCTATGTTTAGAAGTTGTTTTAAATAAAAACGTGTTATTTAAAAGTAAATGGATATCGTTATACATAATATGTATATTTGAAATCTCGTAATTCTTTACGTTGTAATTTTGTTTTTGATAAATGAAAACAAAAGACATCCCCCAAAAGTAAGCACCTGTGATATTTTTCCAAGGAAAATTGAAATAGAACCCGGTCTTGTTTTCAGGGAAACACGGTATGTTGAAGGTATAAATACTCGGGTCGAATCTCTATGCTCCATGAACTTAACAATGTAATAAATCAACAAGGCCGGTTTATTCCAAAAATTCGCAAATCATTCTCTTGTAATTATAAAGCTTTAAACAGAAAGAGAACCCAACCCAAGAATTTTTATGAGATTGGTGAGACTATGTTTTCACATTTATCCCTGGAGAAAGGGTAAGCCAATAAGCCATATCGTGTGACGAACCACAGCCTCTCGTTCGCTTACCAGTCCATTTCGGGTATGGCATAGGTTAGCTAGTTATAATGATTTATGTTCTTTTGGGGGGAGGCAAAAATCATTTTACGACGCTCATTCGGTCCTTTCGCTCTGAACAAGGCCAGGTACAATATCATCTAACAATATCTTCCCCATATCACACTTTGCTGTCGAAGTTATACTCAAGCGCTCAATTACTGCGAAATACAATTACCATTTCATTTTTTAAATAAACGGGTCTACGATAGAAAAATATTCGAAATAGCAAAATTATATTACAGGTATTCATAATGCGTGCATATGTATTGCACAAAGGTTAAAAGTAAAGAATATTTGTAATACCACACTCCAATACATCGCGAAAAACTTTTCAAAAACACTAAAATTCCTTAATGGGGAGACTTCAAAGCGTAATCATCATGTTCGAAAGGATGATTGCAATGCATTACGCAATTGCCTCTCAAAACTTTAAGAAACCGATGAAAAATTCTTAGGAAGATTTATGGCCTTGTGGTTAACACGTTGAAAAAACTATGTTGGAGTTCAAAATATTCGGATGGAAACCCCGTGTCTCATGAACCTAACAACCGATGCCCAGCGAGAAGAATGTGATAAATAAATTATGCTTTATAAAATTATCAGTATATGGCAGACTTTTAATTCACATGATTCGCACAAAATCAAAATGAATTAGGAATGCAGATTTCGCTTGAAATTCAAATCAGTCCCCGATCAGATACTTACTAATTTGTTATTTTATAACGTGGCGGTGTTTTTCTCAAATCTCACATTTTGCGTTAATGGCGGGGGCTTTGTACAAAATATCCAGGCTCAGTTTTGATCGAAAGGCGCGAATAAGCGTCTTGTGAAAATGTCAAAGAGTTCCAAATTTGGTCATTTGTGTTGCATATGCCAGGCATACTTTAACTTTCATATTTAACCCAGGAAGAGAGGGCAGCCGATAGGATATATGTCATATAGCGAACCACGACCTCTTGTCCGTTTACCAGTCTATGTCGTAGATATGGTAGAACTTTGTGTGAAATTGGTGTACTCTCCGAAAATTCATAAGTATGTATTGCATAATAGTGAAAAGTAAAGAATATTGGTAATACCACACGTGAATACATCGCAAAAATTCCAATAACTTATGTACCCGTATCCGCCTATTTCCCTCGCTCTATAAGGAAATCGTCGTCGAGTTTAACTTGGCCAAACTTTTCGATTCTTTTCCTGTGTTTTTTTGCTTCAATTAACACAGCAATTGCAAAGCATCATTAGACAATTGTGTCTCACAACTTTAGGGAAGCGATGAGAAATTCTAAGGAATGTTCATGGTCCATTGGTTAATACGTTGAACCCAACGATATTGAAATTTGAAATAGTCGGATCGAAACCCGATGTCTCATGCAGCTAACAACCGATGCCCAGCGCTAAAAATGAGACAAATAAACTGGGCTTTGAAAAACTTATGTGTATATGGCAGACTTGTAAATCACTGGATTCCCACAAAATCACAATAATGTCGAACCTTTTTGAACTAAAACCTTTAATGAAGTTGTTGAGATGGCAAACCATTTTAATATTTCGTCGGATGCAAGATAAAGCGTCTCATTCCGTCATCAAATATTACATTAAATGCACAGCCATGTATGATTCCAATTTAAAGGTTAATATCGGTTGTATGTCTGTCGTTAACACAAAATTCTTTAGCATCGTCTGAAACTGTCAGTCGTATAAATAGAATTTACCAGTCAAATCAGTTATGATCCAGTTCGTGTTAGGAATGCAGATTTCTCTTGGAATTCAAATCAACTCCGACTGGATACTTACTAATTTGGTATTTTATAACGTGGCTGGGGTGTTTTTTTCAAATTTCACATTTTGCGTTAATGCCAGAGGCTTTTATCGAATCAAAAGTCTAGGAAGTACAATAGATATAGTACTTTGTGTGAAATTGGTGTACTCTCCGAAAATTCATAAGTATGAACTGCATAATAGTGAAAAGTAAAGAATATTGGTAACACCATACGCATTACATTTCAAAAACACTAAAACAATGCTAATAATAATAATAATTTTGTTCGCCTATTTTACATCAAGTTGTGTAAAGGGACTGAAACCTATGGGCAGGGAGTATACTCGCTTGGATAACACAACAGTAGACGACTCGCAGTAGAACTAAAATATAGAAAATCGGAATAAGTCCTCATGTCCGGACTTTCTTTGGCATGTACATTACTAGTGTGACAGGATAACCCATGTGTGAAATTTAATCTGGATCGGCCCAGCAGTTAAGACGCTAGAGCTTGGACACACAGACAGACGAACAAACAAGCCAATGCACTCCAATAAACCGTTACCATCCACGCAAAATTGCACACAGAACGACAGCGCATTTCATTAATCACTTTGCCGAAACTGCAATTTCATTTTGAGCGCTGCGCGTTTGTCGGTTTCATTTGGTCCGTACAATTCGATAGGTAAATTTAAAAATAATCTGAGAAACTATCGTCTATAATAAGATACCATAACATCAACAAACTCGACGTCATAATACCCATTTCTAGTCACGGGGTGGAGAAGGGGCAGGGCACAATTACTGCTTAATACAATCATCGTCACATTTTCGAAATAAACGATAAAAAGATCAGAAATAATGAAAAATATAATAAATTTGGATTGGTATTTTCCTGAAAAATAGTATATCCATAAATATTTTCCTATTTATCTTTTTTCCAAAAACTGAGGGATTATTGCAGTAAAAACTGCTAATTTATTATTGACTTCAAAAACTACTACCAATTACAAATTGTGGTGATATCCTGCAATTTTTCGAGCCCAATTAATTTATTTTTATTTATTTGAGGGGGGGGGGGGGTCGAATTTCTTTTACAATGCACCTTTGGCACCGAACAAGGTCAGGCACAAGCACCAATTACATAGAACAATATCTCCCAGCTCTCGCTTTCCTTACGTAGTTATACAAGCGCCTGATATCTAGATTGTTTTCTGTCACTCTGACACCCATGACCTAATCAAGTAACAGTTGGTCTGTCTAACTGACTGATTAAATTTGACCCGCAATACACAATCTAGAGTTGGACTAATCGAACTTTATTTAACTCCCAACGGGTTTTGTACCTGTATCCGCGGGATTTTCGCGTAGGAATTGCTGCCATATAAGGAAAAATGAACCTCATGTCTACTGGCCGATACGGAAATCGTCAGATTTAAGTTGGACAACTTCCTCGAATGTTTTCGTTTTTTATTTTGATTCATTGAAGCGAAACGCAAATGTGTCTCAACCGACTAGAAATTTTAAGGAATGTTTATGGCCTAGTGCAGCGGTTCTCAAATCTATTGTTCGTGCGGCGCCAAATTATCAGAGAGTAAACTCAAGGCGAATTCACACGAAAAAAACGCAGTTTCTATCTCTATTGTTAGGTAACAATAGAGGCAGACATTACTTAACAATGAGTGACCACTGACCAACATAGAAAGTTGCACTGAATTTATTGATTTATATACACAACATTTAAAATAAGAAACAATAAAACTTTAATAATAAGAAAACAATATGTAAAAAATGCATAATTTATTTAACACAATTTTGCTAATTTAGGGGCGCACTTAGCAACTAGCCGCGGCGCACTCTTCGGGAACCGCTGGCCTAGTGTTTAATTAACACGCTGTGCCTAACTACCGCGTTTCCTCAAAAATAAGACATAGCCTGAAAATAAGACTTTTAATATAACTTTCACTTGAAATAAGACCTAGTCGATAGCAAGAAATCTCTCCTACACATTTTAAATTATTCCTAATAATCTATGTTTAGAAGTTGTTTTAAATAAACACGTGTTATTTATAAGTAAATGGACGTCGGTTTTCATGTTTTGTATATTTGGAATCTTTTGTTTGTGATGAATGAAAATAAAAGACATCCCCCAAAAATAAGACCCTGTCTTATTTTCGCAAGATAAGAAGTCGCAGTTAGCCACTGAGCATTGTAATGAATTAAGCTATTTGTGAGCAAACTATTTACCTAACTAAATTCAGGTTCTCACTAGGAATAGTAACTTCTCATATATCAGTGACTGCCCGTACAGGGCCTTGGTATCTTTTTGTATAAAAATCCCGCCCCTGCTCCAAACACGAAAATTAGGAATTATCCAGTTAGGGTTAGGAATGTAGATTTCGCTTGAAATTCAAAACATTCCTAACCCCGGCTGGATACTTACTAATTTGTTATTTTGAAAACGTTAAAAACATTAACGATTTTTACTTGCTCCTTTCTTTTCAAAAAAGGCCAGGTACAAGCACCACTAATATCTAACAATATCTCACAGTCCAATTTTTTTGTCGAAGTCATACAAGCGCCAAATTGTTTTATTTTATTAAAATCCAATATAAAAAAAACGCCAAATTTCTGATATATACAACTAACATTTCATACTTGAAATAAACGGGACTACAATAAAAAAAATTGAAAATAATAAAAAATAATATATGTTTTCATAATGCCTGCATGAGTATGAATTGCATAATAGTGTAAAGTAAAGAATATTGGTAATACCGCACGCACCAGACCCAAAAACACTAAAATTCACTCATGCAATAGAATTTCTCCCCGCTACACTACTGCTAAATATAAACATTCCATTTTTAGGTAAAAGGGCCTACTAATACTATAAAAAAGATTCGGAATACTACAAAATATAATAATTGTTAGATTGGCAGTTGCCTGAAGCAGGGACTCCCAAACTTTTAATCTTGCTATCTCTTTCAATATGTTAAAATTTTCCGCGACACATGTTCAGGTTTTACGTCGGCTCTTACGATCAAAGTCGCCAATGTTATACAAGCACACCACCTGTGTGATCCTATCATTCTCTCGAAATCGTGAGATTCATGTTTCGCACTAGTTTTAACGAATCAAATGTCTAATAAAGTACAATAGATATAGCAGTGCTTTATGTGAAATTGATGTACTTCCTCCTAAAATTCGTTTCGCGCAACAAGAATAACTGAAAATATGAAAATATAAAACTCAAGGCGCACTTACACGAAAAAAACGCAGTTTCTATATCTATTGTTAGGTAACAATAGAATCATACAGTACGTTACAGCGAGTAAACAACGTAGAAAGTCGAAATAAATTTATTGATTCATTTTAGTTCTGCCTATTTAGGACAATTTTGCTAATTTAATGGCGCCCTTAGAAACTCACCGCGCCGCATCTCTTGCAGCCGCAGGTCTATTGGTTAACATTCTGAACCTAACTACCGCGTTTCACGTAAAATAACAACTAGTCTGAAAATAATACCTAGCCTGAATTCTAAAAACGATTTTAATAAAAGCCCGAAAGTCAGTGCGAAATTTTTAACCAAGTCGATAGCAAGAAATCTCTTATACATGTTTCAAATGAATTGTAATAGATCATAATCTATATTTAGAAATTGTTTTCAATAAAAACGTGTTGTTCAAAACTAAATGGATATCAAATTTCAAAAAAAGAACTCAACCCAAAAAATTTTATGAGTTTGGTGAGAAAATTTTTTTACATTTATCCCAGTGGAAAGGGTAAGCCAATAAGCCATATCGTGTTGCGAACCACAGCCTCTTTTCCGGTCACCTGTCCATGTCAGGTATGGGATTAGTTATCTAGTAATATGATTTATGTTTATTTGGGGGCAAGGCAAAATTTATTTCACGACACTTATTTGGTCCTTTCGCTCTGAACAAGACCAGTGTGCCGTATGTATAGAAAAAGCCCCAGTTTCTCCCTGTTCTTATTCGGCATTACGTTCGTTGATTTCATAGATGGGCAAGCGTTACGTGTCGCATATGTCCGTTCAGTTGATCACAGCATTGCATGGCCGTGTGTTACTGCGATGAACTTATGTTTGTGCCACAGTTGTACTAAGATAATTCAATTAGATTGGCTTCTAAATGAAAGTAGTCAGCTTTGGTCCAGGCCTGGCACAAGATAACATTTATTAAATATGCCGGTTTAGGTATAGTATAGCATATGGTGCATATGGCGAGAACCGCTATCGTTCCAACTTATTGTGGCTGAATCGTTTATGAGTAACACCATGACTTCAAAGTAACGCATTTCAAAAACACATTCGTGATTATACGAGATCATTATCGTTTAAAAAAATTGCGGAAGTTTACGTCAATCATTTACTTTCTGTTCAAACGGTGCAAAACAAATTTAACACTAAATATATCAGTAAGATATTCTGATTATATTTTAATCGAAGGCCTTACTATATTTTTGCCATGGGGGGTTGAATTTTATTTTGCATTCGCCAAGAGGTAAATTAGGGAATAAACTCTGATTACTTTTGCTATAAATTTCGACAACAGCAGTTAAAGGCAAAATAGATAGCTGTTTTGTTCGCATTGCTATTTCGTTGGCAATGGTTAGAATGTGAAAAATCTGATGCCAGGGTTAAGCTATTTCAAAACGGCAAAAATTGTAACGATCGTTTTCCAGAGGCTAATGGTTTATTGACGTAAATCGTGCAGTGATCGTTTGAATTTTTTATTCAAATAAAGTTAAGTCATTTTTATGTCAGAAATCTGTTTCGCTAAGAGCCACGCAATATCTGAAGCCGACAAGACATGTATGACCTTTGTTTTCATATAATAGAATTCATGGTGGCGGTTAATACGCCATATTGCGCAAAATGTATCAGAATTTCATCAAATATGACTCTTACAGGCAGTGACGGCGTCGTCATCGTTTCATAAAGATAGAAAGAGCAGGCCAAACTCTCTTTTTGTGACGCAACACGTCTCCTGAAATTTAAAAGAGAGAAAACGATTTCCTTTCCGCTCTAAAGTAAAGAGTAATCTTGCATAGAATATATTACGATGAGAATAGACTGAAACTTCATTTTAACTTACATTGTTCGGAAATCTACTTTCATCAAAGCTGACGAAAGTTTTGGACTCGAAATGAAGATTCCGATTCGACACAGTTTCATCGGACTAATACTGTTGATGAAGGCTTGTTTATTGATTAAAGGTCAGTAACATCGTACATACTTTGTTGGGTTTGCTCGCTGGCCTGGGGTTTGTTTTTTAGAGACGCGCTATAACTGTCACGTGCAAACTACGGGCCGAGGGCCAAATACGTCCCGACAGCCTGATGCTACCACAACCAAACTGAAACCAAATTTAGATGTTTTAGCTAAAAATTACTCAAGGAATTTGTAGAGATTGCAATTAAATTCAGTTTTTACACGAGGCCTGTTGTTTTCCATTTCTGCTTTTGTAACGCAAATACATGGCCCGCCAGTCTAAGTGGGCAACATTTTGACCCCTGGTCCCAAAACGTTGCCCACCTCTGCGCGATAGAATAATTAATTTGATACACAGCGTTTGCTACAGTAAAACGTGGAAGAATAATATTCCGGAATAATTTGGGGTAAAATTTACATAATGTTAATGTCGACTGTCTTTTCGGCTCCTCAGAAGTGTGTGTACCAATATGTAAGGTAACCAATTGTTCGCCTATCTAACATCAAGTTGTGTAAAGAAACTTATAGGTAGGTATATTCACTTGGCTAACACAGACCGTCCCCGAACTCGTAATAGAACTAAAATATGGGAAATCGGATTAAAATTATGGCCTAACCCTGACCTGGTACATATACTTCGGGAATACCATTTTTTAATCGGCTCATATTAAAGGGTGATTTCACAAAAGCAAAATACAAATTAAATACTAAAAACCTCCCCAGCGATTTTTAAATATGAAGATTAGTGGTTTATATAGAGGATTAGCTATTTAAAAATTATATGAATACACCAAAAATCAGGCAATTGATATTCAAACAGCATGAACGCTTTATATTTTTATAAGTATAGAATCCAGAAATCTAATAATATCCGTTCTAAGTGTAACAGTGTATTGGTGACATTCTATTAATTCGAATATTTTTTCCGAAACACACCGAAAAATTTAGCAAAAAGACGACGAAAAAAACACTTTATTTGTCAAATTCAACATATTCTAAATATATTCGTAAACCGGCGCTTTAGCTAATATAGGCGACAAACGGTAACTGTGAATTGAAACAGGTTAATTGACAAATTTCAAATCTGTTTTCTCGCTTCACGGCTGGTATATTTGTATCGGAAGGAATATTTATTTATTACGGCGTAGGGGGAACCGGTATGGCGGTGTAATAATATAACTTACCTCGGTCTCTCGATAAAGGTTAAACCGACAATTATATATGAAAAATAATAATTTTTTATCTGATAGCTTTTCCCCTCGAATACCTCGTTTACTTTGTCACATATCGGATGCGTTGCTGTACCGTAAACAGGGCCGGGTTTGCCAGGCAAAGTAGGTGGGAAATCTTGGGATCTTAAATCTTAGAGGCCTCGGCATTTTGAACTGTTATTCATTTTTAAGTCGTTTTGTAAAAGATTGTTCCAGAATAAACCCAGTTTAGAATTTTATAAAGTTTATAGTAATCAAGTAAATTATGGTCCCAAATATTTACCGTAGTGTGAAAATAGTGCGTTCGCATGACGTGGGTAGCAGTTTGAAATTAAATATGGAATGGGCGAATGCTCACCATAAGGAAATAGGTACTGAATTAGTCTAGTTATGAAAAAAGTTCAGTAACATAACTTTAGTTTATCTGTTATAAACTTTTTTTAAAACGGTTATTTTGCTCGATTTTCAATTACAATATTTTCTTAGCAGGAGAAAAATGCAGGATTGCAATGATTTGCGACGGGAAACCTACTTGGAAAGATATTACTAAGGTGATAGCGTTAGATGAAATTTCATATTGATGATATTATTAGCAGGAATTGAACTATTTTGTTTGAAATCTGAGAATAAAAATGAGAAAATTTTCTAGCAATTTCTTCCATCTATGAGTACTAAAGGTTTGAAATGTACTTCATCGATACCTCATCCCAGATTTTAAGTTTTCCATGTAATCCATGGGAACACTTTTTAACGGGGAACACTTACTCAGCTAAAGCTTTTATGTCCATATATTTAAACATTTCTCTCTTGTTCTATTTCAGGAAGGACAGTGCACAAAAGAAGAAGAAAAGGCTTTGGAAGGTTCGTGTCCACAATATAGTTTTCTTCAAAATACGTTTGCTATTTTTTTCATTTTTGTCAAACGGCCTGATAGCAAAATTGCCCCACAAACAATCGTTTTATTTTAAAAAAAATCAATCATTTTATATTTTTATTATTAATATTATATATTATTCTTTAGCAATCAAATCATGACATGTAGTTTAGCAATACCCATCTCATATTCTTATTTTTAACCAGAGGAAGAGTGTTACATATCTTCTAACAAAAAATTCACTGATAATGGATTGTGAAACTGAGGGCTCAATTTACTATCTGTTTAAATTTATTTTTTGCAGCTTTAACGGAACATGTAGACGAGACGAAGAGTATGCTCTATCAATTACAAAAGAGGCTTGAAGATTTAAATACGAACTCAGGGCAGCCCTTCATTGTTGGTGTCAACGACACGACCACTACCCAGGGTAGAAATATTTAAGTCTTTTGACATTGCATGCACTAGAACATCGTTCTTTAACTCTTTTCTACCGTGGTATACATTTTAAAAAATTTCAGGAACTTGTATTTCTTACAAATATCAATGTTTATTTAAGCTTTAAATAAACATTAAATTTTAAGCACGAATTGTAAAAAAACTCACGGTTCTGCAATATCACCATAATATACTGCAATATAGTGGGCTAGTGTCTGCAAGTTGTAAACGGTGTAAATTTGACTGCCGGCCCTAGCATCAACGGAAATAACGTAACATAAATGATAAAGCAAGCGACGTGCATGGCAGCCGATATCATCAACCTAGCCAAGTGCCCGAATTATCTACATATTTAATTTTTTATGTAAAAATGTGCTCAAGTCGATTCTTTGCTTAAATGACATTGTAGAATTTATGTGCGCCGCGTTTGCATTATTGTCTTCAATTGAATATTTTATAATTTATTATATTAGAGTTTAGAATCCCATACTTAGGCTGTACACCCGTCGTATACCCTTTATCAGTTGTATACCCAACTCATGGTCCGGTATACACTTGGGTGTACCATATACCCGGTTGAAGACCGTCCTCTCCAGTCATAGTAATCGGTAATACAGCAATATATTAGTACCTAAAACTATAAAACTTGTTATAAAATTGTAATATAAACCGACTTTTTCACACAGGATACACAGACAAGAATACTTCTTTGGTCCGTACTTCAACCGTTCCTGCTACATCTCCGTGGTCAACTAAGGAAGCCTTTCTATCTACGCTGCGCCCACAAACTACAAAAGTCGAACAGAGAACAGGTTGGTGCGGCCTCCTCTTTCTCGTTGTTTACTCGGGAAATATTTGCCCCCTAAACATTTTTTAGTACGCGTCAAATATCTTAATTAGGAATTCCCCAGCACCTGAGGTCCAGAACAAAAAAGAAAAAACAAAAACAGATTTGAGTGAGATTTGAAAACGAACCACAAAAATACTAAATGTATTTGCTTGGTTATAAGATATTAACGTGTTCGCCTAAGATTGTTCTTGAAATAATGATTTTATCCCCCGCAAGGCGCTTTAATATAGGACAGAGTAAAATTGCCTCCAGATGGCGTCCATAGTCTGATCGTTGCCTTGCTTTATGTCCTTTGTGACTGCCGTTTCGACGTGAGACTCTCTCTCAAAAACACTTTCAAAATTAATAACAAAGTATAGAAATAATGTGTGGGGGTCAAACGTCAAACGTCCATTTTGCTCTGATTCAACATATCTTTATCCAATAATTTTACTCGAATATACTGAACAGTATTTGAGGTCCCAAAACACTGTTAAAATTAATGACAAGGTATGGACATATTGTTTGGGGGTCAAAGGTCAAACGTTCATTTTGCTCTGATTCAACATATTTTTATCCAATTATATTACTCGGATGTACTGAACAGTATTCAAAGTCCGTAAAACTGTTAAAATTAATGACAAAGTATGGACATATTGTTTGGGGGTCAAAGGTCAAACGTCCATTTTGCTCTGATTCAACATATTTTTATCCAATAATTTTACTCGGATGTACTGAACAGTATTTAAAGTCCCCAAAACACTCTCAAAATTAATACCAAAGTATAGAAATAATGTGTGGGGGTCATAGGTCAAATGTTCATTTTGCTTTGATTCAACATATTTTTATTCAATTATTTTACTCGGATTTACTGAACAGTATTTAAAGTCCCAAAAACACTGTTAAAATTAATGACAAAGTATGGACATATTGTTTGGGGGTCGAAGGTCAAACTTTCATTTTGCTCTGATTCATCGTATTTTTTATCCAACAATATTACTCGGATGTACTAAACAGTATTCAAAGTCCCAAAAACACTGTTAAAATTAATGACAAACTATGGACATAATGTTTGGGGGTCAAAGGTCACACGTTCATTTTGCTCTGATTCAACATATTTTTTATCCAATTATTTTACTCGGATGTACTGAACAGTATTTAAAGTCCCCAAAACACTGTTAAAATTAATTCAAAGTATGGACATAAGGTTTGAGGGTCAAAGGTCAAACGTCCATTTTGCTCTGATTCAACATATTTTTATCTAATTATTTTACTCAGATGTACTGAACAGTATCTAAAGTCCCAAAAACACTGTTAAAATTAATGACAAAGTATGGACATAATGTTTGGGGGTCAAAGGTCAAACATTCATTTTGCTCTGATTCAACATATTTTTATCCAATTATTTTACTCGGATGTAATGAACAGTATTTAAAGTCCCCAGAACACTGTTAAAATTAATTCAAAGTATGAACATAATGTGTGGGGGTCAAAGGTCAAATGTCCATTTTGCTCTGATTTAACATATTTTTATCCAATTATTTTACTCGGATGTACTGAACAGTATTCAAAGTCCCAAAAACTGTTAAAATTAATGACAAAGTATGAACATATTGTTTGAGGGTCAAAGATCAAACGTCCATTTTGCTCTAATTCAACATATTTTTATCCAATTATTTTACTGGGATGTACTTAACAGTATTCAAAGTCCCAAAAACTGTTAAAATTAATGACAAAGTATGAACATATTGTTTGGGGGTCAAAGGTCAAACGTTCATTTTGCTCTGATTCAACATATTTTTACTTACTTAACAGTATTCAAAGTCCCAAAAACTGTTAAAATTAATGACAAAGTATGAACATATTGTTTGAGGGTCAAAGATCAAACGTCCATTTTGCTCTAATTCAACATATTTTTATCCAATTATTTTACTGGGATGTACTGAACAGTATTTAAAGTCCCAAAACACTGTTAAAATTAATGACAAGGTATGGACATATTGTTTGGGGGTCAAAGGTCAAACGTTCATTTTGCTCTGATTCAACATATTTTTATCCAATCATATTACTCGGATGTACTGAACAGTATTCAAAGTCCGTAAAACTGTTAAAATTAATGACAAAGTATGGACATATTGTTTGGGGGTCAAAGGTCAAACGTCCATTTTGCTCTGATTCAACATATTTTTATCCAATAATTTTACTCGGATGTACTGAACAGTATTTAAAGTCCCCAAAACACTCTCAAAAGTAATACCAAAGTATAGAAATAATGTGTGGGGGTCATAGGTCAAATGTTCATTTTGCTTTGATTCAACATATTTTTATCCAATTATTTTACTCGGATTTACTGAACAGTATTTAAAGTCCCAAAAACACTGTTGAAATTAATGACAAAGTATGGACATATTGTTTGGGGGTCGAAGGTCAAACTTTCATTTTGCTCTGATTCATCGTATTTTTTATCCAACAATATTACTCGGATGTACTAAACAGTATTCAAAGTCCCAAAAACACTGTTAAAATTAATGACAAACTATGGACATAATGTTTGGGGGTCAAAGGTCACACGTTCATTTTGCTCTGATTCAACATATTTTTTATCCAATTATTTTACTCGGATGTACTGAACAGTATTTAAAGTCCCCAAAACACTGTTAAAATTAATTCAAAGTATGGACATAAGGTTTGGGGGTCAAAGGTCAAACGTCCATTTTGCTCTGATTCAACATATTTTTATCCAATTATATTACTCGGATGTACTGAACAGTATTCAAAGTCCGTAAAACTGTTAAAATTAATGACAAAGTAGGGACATACTGTTTGAGGGTGGACATACTTTCATTTTGCTCTGATTCAACATATTTTTTATCAAATTATCTTACTCGGATGTGCTGAACAGTATTTAAAGTCCCCAAAACACTGTTAAAATTAATGACAAAGTATGGACATATTGTTTGGGGGTCAAAGGTCAAACGTCCATTTTGCTCTGATTCAACATATTTTTATCCAATAATTTTACTCGGATGTACTGAACAGTATTTAAAGTCCCCAAAACACTCTCAAAATTAATACCAAAGTATAGAAATAATGTGTGGGGGTCATAGGTCAAATGTTCATTTTGCTTTGATTCAACATATTTTTATCCAATTATTTTACTCGGATGTACTGAACAGTATTTAAAGTCCCAAAAACACTGTTAAAATTAATGACAAAGTATGGACATATTGTTTGGGGGTCAAAGGTCAAACTTTCATTTTGCTCTGATTCATCGTATTTTTTATCCAACAATATTACTCGGATGTACTGAACAGTATTCAAAGTCCCAAAAACACTGTTAAAATTAATGACAAACTATGGACATAATGTTTGGGGGTCAAAGGTCACATGTTCATTTTGCTCTGATTCAACGTATTTTTTATCCAATTATTTTACTCTGATGTACTGAACAGTATTTAAAGTCCCCAAAACACTCTCAAAATTAATACCAAAGTATAGAAATAATGTGTGGGGGTCATAGGTCAAATGTTCATTTTGCTTTGATTCAACATATTTTTATCCAATTATTTTACTCGGATGTACGGAACAGTATTTAAAGTCCCAAAAACACTGTTAAAATTAATGACAAAGTATGGACATATTGTTTGGGGGTCAAAGGTCAAACGTCCATTTAGCTCTGATTCAACATATTTTTATCCAATAATTTTACTGGGATGTACTTAACAGTATTCAAAGTCCCAAAAACTGTTAAAATTAATGACAAAGTATGAACATATTGTTTGAGGGTCAAAGATCAAACGTCCATTTTGCTCTAATTCAACATATTTTTATCCAATTATTTTACTGGGATGTACTTAACAGTATTCAAAGTCCCAAAAACTGTTAAAATTAATGACAAAGTATGAACATATTGTTTGGGGGTCAAAGGTCAAACGTTCATTTTGCTCTGATTCAACATATTTTTACTTACTTAACAGTATTCAAAGTCCCAAAAACTGTTAAAATTAATGACAAAGTATGAACATATTGTTTGGGGGTCAAAGGTCAAACGTTCATTTTGCTCTGATTCAACATATTTTTACTTACTTAACAGTATTCAAAGTCCCAAAAACTGTTAAAATTAATGACAAAGTATGAACATATTGTTTGGGGGTCAAAGGTCAAACGTTCATTTTGCTCTGATTCAACATATTTTTATCCAATTATATTACTCGGATGTACTGAACAGTATTCAAAGTCCGTAAAACTGTTAAAATTAATGACAAAGTATGGACATATTGTTTGGGGATCAAAGATCAAACGTCCATTTTGCTCTGATTCAACATATTTTTATCCAATAATTTTACTCGGATGTACTGAACAGAATTTAAAGTCCCCAAAACACTCTCAAAATTAATACCAAAGTATAGAAATAATGTGTGGGGGTCATAGGTCAAATGTTCATTTTGCTTTGATTCAACATATTTTTATCCAATTATTTTACTCGGATGTACTGAACAGTATTTAAAGTCCCAAAAACACTGTTAAAATTAATGACAAAGTATGAACATATTGTTTGGGCGTCAAAGGTCAAACTTTCATTTTGCTCTGATTCATCGTATTTTTTATCCAACAATATTACTCGGATGTACTGAACAGTATTCAAAGTCCCAAAAACACTGTTAAAATTAATGACAAACTATGGACATAATGTTTGGGGGTCAAAGTTCAAACGTCCATTTTGCTCTGATTCAACATATTTTTACCCAATTATATTACTCGGATGTACTGAACAGTATTCAAAGTCCGTAAAACTGTTAAAATTAATGACAAAGTATGGACATATTGTTTGAGGGTCAAAGGTCAAACTTTCATTTTGCTCTGATTCAACATATTTTTTATCAAATTATCTTACTCGAATGTACTGAACAGTATTTTAAGTCCCCAAAACACTGTTAAAATTAACCCTTTCCGTGCGGTGGGCACGTATACGTACCCACAACA